CAGTCACAGCTTCATTGGAGTAGCAGTTACACACTCCATTTCATTAATCCTATTAGCAGCCCCAAAATACATGCTGAGCTCTCATCGCCAGGGGAGGGAGACTCCCTGGACCAAACGGTCTGCCAGGGGGATGCTGAGTGAGCAATTCTCTGAGCCCCCCAGCCCTCCCCAGAGCTGGGAGCACAAATCCCTGCCGTCAGGGCTGAGGGGAGCCACATAATGCCAGGAAATAAACCTGCTGCTGAAGCCAGGGGGGCCGGGGCAGGGGGGCTTCCTCAGATCCTTTCTCCTGCTTGGGCGGTCTCTTTTTCTGGGGGTGGTAGGAGGGGGCAGGCTGTGATTAAAGGGGAATCTGAGATTGACACAACTTATCTTCAATTCAAACAAAAACAAGGGGCACCCCAGGCTGGCGCCTGACAGTGCCCTGGAAAGATGGAGCTAACGGAGGGAAAGCTGGGGGGGACGGGCTAGAATAGCCTGCCTTCAGCTCACCTTTGAGGGTGACAAGGGTCTCTTTCCTCGTCAGGCTTGCCCTGGATGCTTAAAGACCTGCCCATCTGCTGCTGCAATACAGAGTGGAGAAACTGGCCTAGCCTTGACATTATCCACTTCCAAAAGCCCAGGGTCATTGGAGGGTTTGTGGACTATGGATTTAGCCTATTTTAGGGGTATGAGGAGGGGTGGCTGGGGGACTATTGTCACTGTGTGCCTTAAAAACCCCAAGAAGATTTCTTGTGCAGTGTGGGTACCATGCACAGGCCAACCTACCAGAAACAGAATTTTAACAAACTGCAACAGCCTTATTCTTTCCGGTCTCCTTTAATTGTATTTCTGTGCAGCTGTTGAACAGCTGTGGAATCCCAGTCCAGAGGTGGATGATATACTTTAATGCTGGATATTATTATTCTTGGAGGTGGAGGTAGGGAGGAAAAAGTAGACGAGCTACATTCAGTGAGCACCTCTTAAATTCCAGAACCTGGCTGTGCACTTTGCAAAAATATTACCTCTAATTCTCCCCAAACGTCGTATGTGGAGTTCGAATACTCATCTGAGGTCCTAGCTACTCAGTGGCTAAGCTGGGATGCAAACCCAAGTGCGTCTGACTGTCGAAGTTTATTTGGTTGGGTCATTTTATACCAACAAACTAGTAAATACTAAGACCCCTGACAATGCCTGTTGCTGGTGGGCAGGTAAGATGCAGCGAGAGAAGGTAGGAGCTGGTCTCTGAATATGGCCACAGCTCTCATTCCTGTGAGCTCATGCTGTTTTTCACATCGAGGGGTGGAATCTATTTTCTTCTCCTTGAAGCTGGTTAGGCTTCTGTTGACCAATAGAATGTGGCAGAAGTGGCATTCTGGGTACTCTGAGTTCAGGCCTTAAGTGGCCTTCCCCCTGGGAAGCCAGCCGCCATACTGTAAGAAAAATCTCAGGTTAGACAACTAAACGAAAGTCCATGTGGAGAGAAGAGCCACGTGGAGGCACATGTGACTATAGCTTTTTTGGACCTTCCATCTGGGCCCAGCCCAGCTGCTAGAGGAATGCAGTTGGGTGACTGACCCGGCTGATGTCAGCTAAGGAAACATCCCACTGAGCCCAGTCAACCCACAGAATCTCGAAAGATAGCAAACCACTGTTTGAAGTCACAAAGTTCGGGCGTGGTTTTATGCAACGATAAATCACTACGGAAGGAAAAATTAGGTGTGGCGTCTATATGTTACTGCAGGGATAGCGAACCCCTCGAGTTGCATCCTCACACCCTGTGCTCAATTGTTAGTGCTAAGTGCTGGGTTTCTGTGGCCAAAATGAAGTGCCACTAAGATTACCAGATGTCTGGAGAGTCTGAGAAAGCGCAAGTCAAAATACTTAGAAAAAGCAAAGCAGGAAACCACAGATTTTTAAAGGGAGCCCCGCACATGGTCCCAGAAGTAAATATCCTGTGAGATACAGAAACAAATGCACATTTGTCACGTGGTCGGGGCGGGGGGAGGCGGGGCAGCTAATGAATCTGCCTTTCTCTAAAGGAGGCCAGACTGAAAAGAGGAGGATCAGCAACCCAACAGCAAAGTGAGCAGAAGACAGGCAGGAAGAGGCAAATCACAGAAGTGCGCCCCCAAATCACTGGCAAAGTCAGGAAGAAATGTTGAAAGTCACCAGCAGTCAAGGAAATAAAAATTAAGTAATAATAAACCACTGTTTACATTATTAAACATGCTGCTAGTACCTGGTGCTAGAGAGGATACAGTGAAAAAGGCACACTCCCAAGTTGCTATGGAAACGTGAATGGTTTTACCTTTTGAAATGCGTTCTAGCAACACCTGTTAAAAACAAGAGTGTGAGGATGTGTGTTAGGAATGTCAAGTGCAATGCAGCATTGCTCACGAAGGCAAAAACTTCGAATGAAGTGAATGTTAATTGACAAGGGAATGACTGGATCAATTACAGTCCATCCATATCAGGAATATTTTGCAAAATATTCAAAAGAATAAAGTTATCACAAATGCATTAGAGGAGTTTCTCATGAGGTGTTGCTGAGAAAAGCATGATTCATAAAAAGCATGTATCAAATATGATCCCACTTTTTAAAGTGATGAAGCTTGTATTTGAATATATGTTTATATCTCTACCTAAGTGTATATATGAATACATGTGTGTGGGGAAAAAAGTATGGAAGGATGCATACAACGTCATCAAGCTTGCATGACAGAGAAAAGGGTAGGGGGCGGTATGTGAAAAAAAGAAGTGAAGGAGGTAGCCAAATTAAAAGGAAAAGAATTTTTTTTCTTTACAGTTTTTAATGTTTATTTAGTTTTGAGAGACAGAGCATGAGCATGAGCATGGGAGGGGCAAAGAGAGAGGGAGACAGAATCCAAAGCAGGCTCCAGGCTCTGAGCTGTCAGCACAGAGCTCTACGCAGGGCTTAGACACACAAACTGTGAGTTCATAACCTAAGCTGAAGTCGGACGCTGAACTGAATGAGCCACCCAGTTCCCCCAAAGGGAAAAGAATGTTTTTAAAATTTCTTTTTAATGTTTATTTATTTTAGAGAGAGAGAGAGATACACACAGAGTGTAAGCAGGGGAGGGGCAGAGAGAGAGGGAGACACAGAATCCGAAGCAGGTTCCAGGCTCTGAGCTGTCAGCACAGAGCCGGACGTGGGGCTTGAACTCACGAACCTCGAGATCATGACCTGAGCCAAAGTCAGATGCTTAACCCACTGAGCCACTCAGGTGCCCCAGGGAAAAGAATTTTTAAAAACATTTAAAAAAGGATATGATAGGGTCGCCTGGGTGGCTCAATCAGTTAAGCATCCGACTTCAGCTCGGGTCATGATCTCACAATTTGTGAGTTCAACCCCGAGTCTGGCTCTGTGCTGAGAGCTCAGAGCCTGGAGATTGTTTTGGATTCTGCATCTCCCTTTCTCTGTGCTCCTCCCCTGCTCACGCTCTGTCTCTCTCTCCTACAAAAATAAATAAACATTCAAAAAAATTTTTTTAACTTTAAAAAAAGATATGATAAGTGTGCCTGGTGGCTCAGTCAGTTAAGCATCCAACTTTGGCTCAGGTCATGATCTCGCAGCTTGTGAGTTCGAGCCCCACGTCGGGCTCTGTGCTGACAAGTCAGAGCCTGGAGCCTGCTTCCAATTCTGTGTCTCTGTCTCTCTCTGCCCCTCTCCCACTCACGCTTTGTCTCTCTCTCAATCTCTCCCTCAAAAATAAATAAATGTTAAAAAAAACTTTTTTTAACTTTAAATAAGGATATGATAGGGGTGCCTGGGTGGTTCAGTTGGTTAAGCCTCCAACTCTTGATTTCGGCTCAGGTCATCATTTCACAGTTTTGTGGGATCGATCCCCACATTGGGCTCTGTGCTGACAGCCAGTGGAGCCTGCTTGGGATCTCCCTCTCTCTGCCCTTCCCGTGCTCGTGCTCTCTCTGTCCCTCTTAAAATAAATAAATAAAATAAAATAAATTATTCCTTTTGACTGGCCAGTGGTGCAATGGATAATGCATTCGACTACGGATCAGAAGATTCTAAAAATCATTCCTTTTGATACTGTGTGTCAACTATGCTTCAATAAAAAATTATTCCTTTTGCTCCGTGTTCATTTTAGGCAGAAGAAACGCCATTGCCAGCAGTGAGCCCTCACTCCTGTAGGCTGCAGGCCAGCCCAAAGCCCAGCAGCCTCTCTCCTCCAGCACAGCTTCCGAACGGGAAAAACTCCCCCAAACTGAGACGCTTCTAGTGAGACACCCCCACCCATAATCTCCAGGCTAGAATCTCTAGAACCAGGAAAGCACACTCCTGTGAGCATTAGTGTGCAGATAGACAGAAGCAGCACTATCGAGGCAGGAACCTGGCAGGTGGCCCTGGCCACAGACAACCCCACCCGCCCCCTCCCCCAGCAGCGCACACACAAGGTCTCTAGTCTACACCCTCCTCCCGAGCCCCCGCCCCAGCTTTATCTTCCCACCTTGCCTCCCATGCCCACTTGTTCCCTCAGATACCCAGTTCCCAAAGCCTCACGATCTCTCCTGTCAGCCCTTGGGGGCAGCAACTTACAAGCCAGGCACCAATGAGAAAGGTCAAACCCAGAAGGCAGAGTTTAACTGAAGACCATACAGTCCCTGAGCAACCAAACACCACCCTTCTACGGCTTTCTCCGGCAGCCAGTCCATCCTCAGTAAGAGGACACACTCCCTCAGGGCCACAGACCTCGGTGCTTCTAGTCTACTGTGATAGGAAGTAAAAAGTGGAATAAGACGTTTCCAAAGCCAAGGGCAGGGGGTAAGGGACAAAAGAGGAGTGACTGCTTAGTAGGTGTGGGGTCTCCTTTGGGATGATAAAAATGTTCTGGAACAAGATAGAGGGATGGTTGCACAACATCGTGAAGGTACTTTATGCCACTAAGTTGTACACATTAAAATGGAAATTTTATATTCTGCGAAATTTACCACAGCTGAAAAAAACAAGGATGCAGAGGCCTGGTGGGGCCTCATATTACCCTTTCTGGCTTCCTCGCTCTTGGTATTCATGGCTGTAGCATTCTGCCAGCTCTCGAAAGGCTGCTCCTCGAGCCCACCTAAAGGAATGAGGAAGAAAAGAAGCATGAGGACACATTAGCCTTCTTTGTAGGAGCACCAAGAAATGAGGGAGCAAACCTGGTCACCTGAGGGATGACCAGAATCCCTGGCAGATCAAGAAAGATTTGATAACAAGGGTTGATTGGGCCTATCACAGGCTGGGTACTATTCTAGATGTTAGGGGCAAGAAAGAACCTGCTTTTCCATAACCACGCACATGATGCACAAATTATAAACGGATTACTCTCCTTGACCAGTTCAAGGGTACTTGGAGCCAGATACACAAAGTTAACAGGCAAATCCCAGAGTCAACCTCGAAGTCAGCTTTCTCACCCTCACCTCCATCAGGAAGCCCAAATGTGTAAACAGGACACAGCCTTCTGGGGTCCCCTGGTGTGGAATGCAGGGAGAAATCATCAGTGCTGCTTTTAAATATGTGATGTGGTCAGTTACGACCTTGGCTTAAATAAGTATTTTGGTTTTCTCTTTGGAGTGAGCCTCATTTTAAAATTGCTCTGTTGGGCGCCTGGGTGGCTCAGTTGGTTAAGTGTTAGACTTCGGCTCAGGTCACGATCTCACAGTTTGTGAGTTTGAGCCCCGTATCGGGCTCTCTGCTGTCAGCACAGAACCCACTTCAGATCCTATGTCCCCTTCTCTCTTTGCCCCTCCTCCGCTTACACATGCATGAGTGCGTGTGTGTGTGTGTGTGTGTGTGTGTGTATGCACACACATTCTCTTCCTCTCTCTCTCTCTCTCTCTCTTAAAAATAAATAAATAAATAATAAAATAAAATAAAAAGAAACTGCTCTGTTGACTTTCAGGGCGCCTGGGTGGCTCAGCTGGCTAAGCATCCGACTCTTGATTTCAGCTCAGGTCATGATCTCGTGGTTCCTGAGATTGAGCCCTGAGGTGGGCTCTACCCTGATGACTCGGAGCCTGTTTAGGATTCTTTCCCTCTCTCTGTCTGCCCCCCTCACCCTGCACTCACATGTGGGCACTCTCTCTCTCTCAACATAAAAAAAATAAACATAAAAAAAAGAAATCCCTTTTGCTAACTTCATGTATTAGACTCCGCAGACACGGCCTTGGTCAAGAACAGTGATGCTTGTATTTGTTTGTGGCCAATGCTAGTGGCCATTGGGTATAAACCTCGTTCACACCTGTCCTCACCAGGAACGTGGTCAATCAGCAAATATTATTAGACCCACAGTGAGCCGAAATTGTGTGCACCAGGCGATCGCCAGGCACCAGGTGATCCAGCAGTGAACAAGACAGACGGGTGACATGGGTGGCTGGACGATAGACACAAAGTAAGAAAACAAAAGGCCACAATCGTTGTAGGTTCAGAAAACCTGAAGGTCAAAGGCGGTATGTGGTAGAGCATGGTTGGGGCAGTTGCTCAGAAAGGGCCTTCTCTGACCACTGGAGTCAAAGAAACTGACATAGAAGTCTGGGCCAGGATCAGGAAAGAATCTGGATGGGGAGTGAGCTTGCCACGTGGAAGGGCTGACAGTGGTGGGCAAGGGGGAACACGACAGAGAGGGAGGCTGGATCCACAGGGATATAGTTGCAGACAGGGAAACAGGGAGGCTGATGAACTAGATACGAGGGACTGAGAGGGGCCCCTAGTGACTCCTACATTTAGGAGTTGCGAAACTGAGTGGGCTGTGACACCAGGGAGCAGATATGAGGGCAAAGCCTATGTCCAGGAGAGACTATTATATATATGAAACCACATCAAAGCGACTACAGGACAATCTACTTGGGCAAAATTGTTTCCTGCATTTGTTTAGAAATTTGCAGCTTGCAAAGCAGTTTCCCCATATCTCCTTTGACCCTGATTAGAACCTTCTGTGGCAGAAAGGAACCCCATTTTCCAGAGGAGAAAACTGAGACACAAAATGCTTAGCCCGGGGTTGCCAGCCCATCAGGGAAGCTGGGGGCTCAGGACACAGTCTCCTGGTAGGAAACCTGATGATCTTTGCTGTGCCCCACAGCTCACAGGCTTCCAACAATGCTCGAGGTAGGGTCCCAAACACGCAATGCAATGACCTGGCCCTGAACAAGCAAGGGAGACGACCCTGTGGTCCACCGTGCAGACCGCCTCTTTCCCTCTCCTGACTATGACACCGGCAGTGGACCAGACGTGCGCTGACATTTTTGTGTGCCTTCGTCCTGTTCATTCTGCTGCCTTTCTGGCCAACTCGGAATCCACTCACACACTCCCTGCAGCTGCCGGTGCATTCGCTGCCAGCTCCCAGCCCTCTGGGTATTCTTCCAGTTGCGATATCATTTCCTCTCGGGCTAAAGGTCAGGGGAAATCCTGATGGTATGAAAATCGCCGGCCAGCACAGGAATGTGGCATGTGTGGAGTGAAGAAGAGGCTGAAGCCAAAGATCTAGGACTAGCTTAGTCTTGACTGCGTAACTGCGGATAAGACCTTGGGCGTTTGTATTCTTCATCTGTCAAATGGGCTGTTTGTTTTGAAGACCAAATGAGGTAATGGGTTTGTTTAGGCACTAACTCATTCAACAAATATTTATCCGACACCTGCTACACGCCAGATGCTGTTTCTGCTGCTCAGGATACAACACGGAACAAACTCTACCCTGACCTCATGGAAATTATATTCTGATGGAGGGTAGGGGAGAAAACAAAAAACAAATAGGCAACTAAGTATTTAAGTCAGTTGCCGATAAGCACTGTGAAGAAAGTAAATGAGGGTGAGGGGAACAGTGGGCACTAGGGATAAGGGGTTGTTTCATATGAGGTAGAAAAGCAGAAGCCTGAGGAAAGTGAAGGAGAGAGTCCACAGACAATCTGGGGAAGAACATTCCAAATTGAAAAAGCAACAGGGGCAAAGGCCCTGGGGTGGGAGTGTGCTTGGCGGTAGGGAGGCGGGATGATTTGTGAGGGGCAGAGTCGCAGGCAATGAGGCCAGCGGGCAGGGGAGGGTCTGGAGGGTTAGCTCATGTGGGGGCATTTTGAGGATCTGGCTTTCATTCTGAGGGATCTAGACGACAGCCAGGGGACAGAAAGGGCTTTGTAACTGCACCGACTTTGAATATGACCGGGGTTGTTAGTAGTGGTCAGGAGGGGGACTCAGGGGCTGGCATTTGAAAGGAGATTCCACATAGCACTACCCCAGCATGAAGGGATGGAAAGTTTAGACATGCTTGGCTCTTGCGAAAGGGGTGGAGGGAGGCCATAAATAAATAAATAAATAAATAACCTGTAAGCACAGTCTGGGTTCAAGGTTAGCTGTAGGCTGTGTTTGAGGGAACAAAAGCCAGGAGAGACTGATATTCAGCTCTGCATCAGGCAGAGGAGGGTGGGGGTCAAGGACTTCTGATCCATTGGCCTCCAGGTGCTTGGAGCTATAATAGGAGCAAAAGCTCTGGAGTTGAGGGCAGAGTGGGTGCCGCCTCCCCCCCCCAGTAGATAGAGGGGGAAAGAATCAGTGTTTCCTAAGTGGCAGTTATGGAGCTGACCGTGCGCTAAGAACAGTGCTAAATGAGTTTCTTGTATTGTGTTTTGTAATTCTAGCCTCAAAAAGACACAATGACAAAAGGACCATAAACATCCCCACTTTACAGACGAGGAAACAAGGCTCCAAGAGGTGAAGTGACTTGCTTGTCTTGAGGGTACGGAGATGGTTAGCAATGGTGATAGCTGGAGGTGGGGCCAATCTGACCCCCAAACCTGTGCTTCTTCCCCTCAGCCTCAGGACCAGAAAGAACAAGTGGGGTGCCTGGGAGATCCTGGGGAAGGGTCCCAAGGGACCCACGGCATTTTCCAGGAGACCTATGAGAGCTTGGAGCCCTGGGCAGTTAAGAACACAAATCCCCCCTCTGTCATCCTTACCAGCAAGAGACTAGAGAGTGTCTTTTTTTTTCTCAAAAGGGCAGCAAATCTCATGCTTCCAGTACAGCTAAGCCTGGGATCCACCTGGAGATAATGTGGTTTGGCCACTCCCCCTGATGAAACCCTTCCTGAGGCTCTCCACTGCCTTTGGGATGAGTTCTAACTCCTGAAAGGATTGCCTGGCCCCTGTGACAAGGCCCTGCCTGCCTCCTCCACCTGGGACCTTGAGGCTGCTACTTTCCCCACTCCTACCCAGCCACCCCAAGCTACCTACAGCACCTTGATTTCTATTGTCTTCAGCCACACCCACGTCTTCACCCGGCCAAATCCAACTGGTGCTTCAAGTGTCAGCAGGGACACTGCTTCTTCTGGGACACTGACCCACTGCTTCTCCCAAGTTTCAAGCACTCTGCTCTGTGCAGTCACAGCCTGGGCTGATTCACATCCCGTACCACAAGGTATCAGCACCTCCTGTCCATTCAGCTGATCCCTCAGTTTGGTTTCTAGTTTCTGGCATCTCAAAGAAAGGGATCTTGTCTTGTCCAACAATGAACACCCAGCACTTTGCCTGGCACATAACAGACACTCAATAAAATATGAGATGGATGGATAGATAAGTCAGGTAGGCAGTGCTTAAAAAGAGAACTCAATCGGGGCACCTGGGTGGCTCAGTCAGTTAAGCATCCGACTTCGGCTCAGGTCTGATCTCACTGTTCATGAGTTCGAGCCCCGCATCGGGCTCTGTGCTGATCGCTCAGAGCCTGGAGCCCGCTTCAGATTCTGTCTCCCTCTCTCTCTCTGTGACCCTCTCCTGCTCATACTCTGTTTCTCTCTCCCAAAAATAAATAAACATTTAAAAAAGAAGAGAGAGAGGACTCAATCATTTCTAACGCAGCCTAGCTGATGGGAAAACTTGTCTTCATCAGCTTTTATGGGGAGAGGAAAGCAGATATTCTCAGAACAATGGTTTTCAACCTTCAGTGCGATTTGGGATCACCTGGGAAACTTTTTAGAAAAATACTGATGGGGCGCCTGGGTGGTTCAGTCAGTTGAGCATCTGACTTCAGCTCAGGTCATGATCTTGTGGTCTGTAGGTTCGAGCCCCACGTCGGGCTCTGTGCTGAGAGCTCAGAGC